TGGAGGTTTAAACTCTCATGGAATTCAGCCTTTCTGGAGGCATGGGGCCTGGGTGAACCCCTGAAGCCCCTTGAGAGCATTTTTAAACTTTAAATAAAATATAATCCCCTGGAATCTTCTTTAAAACCAAACAACTTAGCCTCTCGACAAGCAGGGAATGCCCGGCCCTGTGCCGGCTTGGTGCTTTTTGAAGATCTATCCACATGACATCAGTAACAGCAGCTGGAGAGATCAGAGAAGAAGCTGGGGGCTGAGCACTTGTTAACTGGGGAGGCACCACCCGGGAAAGGAAGGCGAGCAGGGCTTCAGTGTCACTCAGCGTAAGGGTGGAAACTGGTGAGCATAGTCACAACCCATCAACAAAATACAGAAATATTTAAAGAAAAAAAAAAAACCAGATTACAAAACACCAGCATATAATTCTGGTGAAAAGAACACACCTATTTGTGTACAGAGGAAGATCTGACATAATGTTCCTCTGTATTCTAAATCTTCACCTCTACTGTGCGAACAGGGAGCTCTGGTGGCTTAGTGGTTAAGCTGTTGTACTGCCAACACCAAGGCACAGGGTTCAGATCCCCCAGCTGCCCCTGGGGGGAAGGTGGACAATCTCCTCCCCTGTGATTTATAGCCTCTGCAAAACCGCTGGAGGATCTGGTGTGAGGAGGTTCCTACTTGACGATGTGAAGGAGGCCGGTGCAATCTACAGGACTGGCTCTGTCTCAGACAATCTCTTCGGCGACGTAAAAAGGAGAGAAGGTGGCACCTCAGCACCCAAGAAAGGAGAGCCGGGAGCGGGGTGCATCCCTCCAACCCTGGCTCCCCGCGGAGCGGCCTCCTGTGGTTTGCTGGGTACCACTGATTCGATGATGACTCACAGCGAGCGACCTCGACCTCTCAACAATGACTCACAGCGAGCGACCTCTCAGACAACAGGTCGGCACCTCGCCCTGGCCCGCGCCCTCCTCTCAATCCATCCCCACCAGGTCAAGCCCGTTGCTACAGCCGCCGTGTCAACCCATCCTGTTGAGGGTATCACTCCTAGATCAAGTGAAGTATCGATGCCAAGACACGTGAGACCTCCAAGAGCCTGTGGGTGTTGACGGAGACAAGGCCCCTCCCCACAGAGGCAGGGCTGGGCACAGGGAAGACTTCCCCTAGAGCCAAACTGTAAGAAAGTAAATGTCTGTTTGTTAAGCCGCTCACTTGTGCTATTTCTGCTGTAACAGTGCCAGACAACCTGGTCACAGCCTAATGGGAGCCGGAGCAGTGGAAAACACATGCTCAAATAAACGTAAACCTCCCCCCCACCGTCAAGGGCATTCTGTTGTTACTCTTACTGGGTCCTCTTCACAGAATTCGATCTCCAGGCCTTTCTTCCAGGCTGCAATTGGTGTTACATGTTCCTGAGTGACTACGGCTCACAGCAACCCTGTGAACAACGGTCCTGAAACCTTGCTCTGTCTTGAGGACCGTAGATGGGTTCAAACCACCAACCTCTCCATCAGCAGCTGAGGGCAAAAGGGTTTCACTGCCCATAAATAAGCAAGCTGACTGGCATCGAGCCAATCCCAGCCCACCGCGACCCAATCCTATGGGATGGAGGAAGACTGGTCCTCAGAGTTCCCAGAGCTGTCATCTTTATAGAAGCCCAGTGCTACACTGTTTTACCAAGGAGCACCTGGTGGGTTTGAACTGCTGACCTCCTGATTAGTAACCACCCACCTAGCTGACGTGTAATCAGGACTCTCTTCCAAATAAATTTTGTCATATTTGTTAGGTTCCAAGGGGTTGGTTCTGACTGACAGCTGACCCTTCAGCTGTTTTTCAGAGGCTGTTAATCGAATGGGAGGAGACAGCCCACCCATCTCCATATAGCAGCTGGTGTATGTGAACCGTCTTAAGCCACCAGAGCGCCCTACCTTTATCTAGGAGCTTGGGACCCCTGAATATAAGGACCCTGCAGAGAGGACCCTGTATGCATCTCTCTCCTGAGAAGCAGCCGGAGGATGCGAACTGCTGTCCTTTCAGAGAGTAGTCCAATACGTCAGGTCATCCACAGCGCCGGGGTTCCTTACATGTGCAATTAGAAGCCCACAAACATTTACACCCCTTAACCTAGTGTTCTCTGTAAAGACACTAACAGCCAGGAGAAGCCTCAATGTTGGTGTTACATTGAGCAGGAGATTATTAGGGGACCGTCAGAAATAACTAGCTATTCTGGGGAATGTTTACGCCAACTAACTATTGATAACTTCCCTCTGTGATTTTTTGCATGGATTCCAAATTTAGAAACCTGTCCACCCCCGGAAGTTCAGTGAATATTCACTTCTATTTCCTTCCAGATTCCTGAAATGCATGACGTACTTTTATTTATCAGTCAATCAATCAAAGTTGGGAAAAGTGGAGGGTCAGAGGAAGAGAGGAAGGCCCTCCGCAAGATGGAGCCACACAGTGGCTGTGAGCACGGGCTCGTGCCTTTCAGAGATGCGTGTCCAGCACGGCGCAGGACAGGGCAAGGGTCAGCTCTGCTGTCCGCAGGGTCCCTATGTGCTGTTGTTGACTCCATGACAACTGCTCCCTCCAGGCGGGGACCTGGATCTGTCCAGTACTGACCAGGCACGCCCGGCCTCAGCCCTTCACACAGGGAACGCCCATCAGCCCTGTGTCCAATACCATCCAGGCACGCCCGGCCTCAGCCCTTCACACAGGGACTGTCCATCAGCCCTGCATCCAGTACTGTCCAGGCATGCCCGGCCTCAGCCCTTCACACAGGGAAGGCTCATCAGCCCTGAGTCCAGCGAGTCCTTGGCTGCCTTGACAGTCCATGTTCATTGTGCCTGAGTCCCGTGTCGGTCACTCTCACTACTTTAATCTTTTTCATCCTGCTACCACCCTTAGAGGGGCTCTGGTGGCTGCAGTCTGCAGGAAGTCACGCTTCCGACCCAAACGGGTCTGGTACTTCCCTGGGGGTACAACTCCCTGGAGGTCTCATCAGGTGTTCCACGGGAGAAAGGTGAGCGGTCTCCTGCCATGTGATCTGGAGCCTCTGAAAACCCAGTGGACGGTCAGCCACGGGCCTGCTGAGTGTGCTGGATTACTGCCCACTTAGGGAGCCCAGGAATGGAGGTGTTTAACCAAAATGTCAGCAGTTCAAATGCACCAGGCCATCCACAGAAGAAAGGTGGGCAGTCTACCTACCCCCTTAAAGATTTCAGTTGGAAACGAGATAGAGGGTCATCGTCAGTTGGAAAGAACCTAACAGCAGGTACAACACACTGAACAGAGGGCAGGGGGCTGCCAACATGACTTTCACTGCACACGCCGTGTGAATTCTTCGGGTAACCCTGGCCTTGCTGTGGGAAGCTGGGGCTGGATGCCAGTCTCTGAGGTCAGCCTGCACACACAGCTCTGAGACCTGGGATCTGTGTCCACGAAACCCCTCAACCAGCTCAAACACACGCTGCTGTGACACTGTGAGGGTGGTCTGTCAGACAGTGGACATGCTGGCCATTTCATCTAGTGACCCAGAGACAACAAACCCCCATGTGGTCCACCTGCTCTGTGGCCAGTCCAGTTCCAGGCCTACTTGGAGGGTCCAGCTGTGAGCACACAGATGCTTTGAGAAAACCACCAGAAAGAAGTTTCTCGAATTTTAAAATATTTATTCAGATGTGGGTTTAAACAAAGAACACTGACATGTGGAGAGTTGACATATTTATGAAATTTCACTTTTAGTTTTTCAATTCCAGTTAGGGAGGGTTTGCGAGTCTTTCCCTTACAGAAGGGTTACCCTGGTGGTTAGGGGGACATGTGCCCGAGCCAGAACTGGGCAATGTGCATCCCGGCTCTGTGCCTGGGCCTGGTGCCTTGACCCAATGCAAGGTATTCAACCCACGTACCACCTCAACTGACTGTCTGCTGGCCAGGATGTTGTGTCAGTGTACATGTGGTGTTGTGATGCTAAGAGCTGAAGGTGTTGTGCTGGTGTATATGAGGTGTTGTGATGCTGAAAGCAGAGGGTGTTGTGCTGGTGCATGTGTGATGCTGAAAGCAGAGGGTGTTGTGTTGGTGTATGTGTGGTATGTGATGCTGAAAGCAGAGGGTGTTGTGCTGGTGTATGTGTGGTATGTGATGCTGAAAGCAGAGGGTGTTGTGCTGGTGTACGTGTGGTGTGTGATGCTGGGAGCTGAGGGTGTTGTGCTGGTATACGTGTGGTGTGTGATGCTGGAGCGGAGGGTGTTGTGTTGGTGTACGTGTGGTGTGTGATGCTGGGAATTGAGGGTGTTGTCCTGGTGTACATGTGGTGTTTGAGGCTAGGAACCGAGGGTGTTGTGCTGTTGCATGTGTGGTGTGTGGTGCTGGGAGCTGAGGGTGTTCTCCTGGTGTATATGTGGTGTGTGATGCTGGAGCAGAGGGTGTTGTGCTGTTGTATGTGTGTTGTGTGACGCTGGGAGTGGAGGGTGTTGTGCTGGTGTACGTGTGGTGTGTGATGCTGGGAGCTGAGGGTGTTGTGCTGGTGTACATGTGGTGTTTGAGGCTAGGAACCGAGGGTGTTGTGCTGTTGTATGTGTGGTGTGTGATGCTGGGAACCGAGGGTGTTGTGCTGTTGCATGTGTGGTGTGTGGTGCTGGGAGCTGAGGGTGTTCTCCTGGTGTATATGTGGTTTGTGATGCTGGGAGCCGTATCACTGGCAAGTCAAACACAGCGGGGTCATCCATGGTGGATACGTTTCAGCAGAGCTTATAAACCAAGACAGACAAGGAAAAAAGGCCTGCCAATTAATTCTGAAAATCAGCTTATGAAAACACGAGGACCTGCAGTCTGCCTCGTTCAGGAAGCTGAGTGCCCTCGCCTGGACCACTGCTGTCTGGCTGATTCTGACCCACGGTGAGCCAGCAGAGGTCACAGAGACCATGCATTTTCCTAAAGAAGGTCCAAGGTGCCTCCAGATGGACTCAGACCTCCAGCATTTTGGTCAGCAACTGTGTGCATTAACCATGTGCCCCACCAAGGAAGGGACTCAAAAATTCAGGGACTGTGACAACGGGCTGGACGACACAGGACCAGGTAACGTCCGATGCTGTTGTCTGAGGGCAGACTCCCCAGGGAGTGACTGGCACACAAGGCAGAAGGGGCAAGTGCCACCATCACTGCACACAGGTCAAGCAAACACCCTCTAACCACAGGGTTTCTAAGGTGCAAATGTTACCAGGAGGAGCTTGCCTCATCTTCCTCCCACAGCGCGGCGGCAGGGTTCGAACTGACAACCTGTCAGTTACAGCCCCAACATTTCAATAGCATCAGTTTTTGTTTCATTCCCTTCACACAGTGAGCGTTTCCTAGTGGACGATCGTGGTTCTTGGTAAGATGCTTCTTACCTCTCCTGCCTGCTCTACAGTGCAGAGGGGCTCACGGCTGGCCCTCCCCGCGCCCAGCTGGCCCACCCCGTGCCCAGCTGGCCCTCCCTGTGCCCGGCTGGCCCTCTCTGCGCCCAGCTGGCCCACCCCATGCCCGGCTGGCTCTCCCCGTGTCCGGCTGGCCCACCCAGAGCCTGGCTGGCCCTCCCCACGCCCAGAGGGCCCTCCCTGTGCCTGACTGGCCCACCCCACCTCTAGCAGCCAAGCACTAAGTGCTCCACACTTGGACCTCACTGGACTCATGTGCCGAGGTATGGCCGAGCAGAGTGTCACAGCCCTGGGAAGCGGGCTGTCACACAGCCATTCTTCACCAAGGGCCCCAGACACGCCCCTCATGTTGGGGTTCATCTTGCACCTCCTTGTTGTAGGATCTGTAGACACTCAACTCACCCATGAGGGCAGGTGAGGCTGCCTATGGTCAGATGGGAGGCAGAGGGCGCAGAGTTCAAGTCCTGACTCCTCCAGCCACTGATGATGAGGCCGTGGACAGGCCAGCCACCATTCTGAGCCTCAGTTTCCCCCTCTGTAAACAGAAACAATCACAGCTTTCTCCCGCTCCTTCCCTGTGACACGCTGTTAGGTGTGGACGGTCTGTCCCACAGACGCTGGATCAAGGAGGGCAGGAATGGGTAGCATTCACCACTCAGCCCTGGGAAGAAAGGATCCCGTCCCTCTTGGCATGGGGGCAGGAAGGCTGCGGTTCCCAGAAATCACCAGGCTGTGAACAACCTGACACCTGGCCTTTGACCTCACACATCCATGAAAGGGGCCACCAAAAAGCGATGTGCAGGGATTTCAGGTACTTGCTGACCTCACTCGGCCTCTGATGCCCACTGCTGTCCAGTCGATGCTAACGCAGCGTGACCCTCCAGGACAGCTGAGAACTTCCCGGAGAGCTTCCACGCCGTCATCTGTGCTGGGGCAGACTGCAACACCGACCACTGACCTCTGGGTCAGCAGCTCAATTACTTAACCGCCAGGGTTCCTTAACTCTGACCCTCTAGATCCAAAACCCACAGTCAAACCCTGCTGTCAAGTTGCTTCCAAAAGGACAGCTGGTGAGTTTGAACCTCTGACCTTCGGGTTAGCCACCTGACACTTAACCTGCTTCATTTCCTTTAACAGAGGTTCTCAGATCGAGACGCAAACTCAGCCCCACCTCGAATCTACTGAAACAGAAACTCTGGGGGTGGCCCAGCAACCATGTTTTAACAAGCCCTTGGGTCGCTGATGAGGAAAACACCGAGAACCACTTTTCTAGAACGTTCCAGAGCTCCATGCATGCTTCCACAAAGACTCCCGCCTACAGGTGCAGTGAGACAAACACACAGAGACACACACACAAGGCAGGCAGCGGGAGGGGCCCAGCCGGGGTGCAGGTGGGTGGGAGCATGAGTCGGCCAGAGAGGGGGAACCTGACACCCCCGGAAGACAGGTCACTCGCCGTCTTGTGGAGGTCACTGCTGGCCACAGGAAGTCTGGCCGTTTAAGTGAGAGCACTCAGCAGGATGACCGTTTGCAGAGACCAGGCAGGAGAAGGGTGGGGTGCCCAGTGCTCAAAGGGGCAATCAGGAAACAATTGCCAGCCGCCTGCCGTGTCCAAGGGTCTGAACAGGAGGCCTCTCAGCAGCACGGCCCCAGAGCAGGACAGCTGGGCCTCAGCCTGAACCCCGAGCCTGGCAGGCCACAGCTCCCTTCTCTGTGGGGAGCAGCCCCTCAGGGTCCAGTCCCTCACGTGCTGAACTTCCTCCCTTCAAGACCCTACGTTAATATCCTGCGATGTCAGGAGTCCCCACCTAGTTGGCCTCATCCTGCCCTCCCAAAGGTGGCCCCAAGACACGGGGGCGCGCAGGGACCTGGAGTGGATGGGAGGCACTTCAAGGTCCAGGCAGAGGTGAGGTGGTCATAGCCTGGATAAGGAGTCAGGGTTCATCACAAGGTGGCCGACCTGCTGGGCCCACCCAGGTGTGTGCGCAGGTCAGCGTGGACACAGAGTGCTCAGGCACCTCTCCGGGTCACCTGCGTCCCTGATGCTTCCCGGTGGCACACGCAGAGAGTGCTGGGTTCGAGCTTCACAACTGGAAGCGTGTGCCTCGCCCCTCCTCTCACGCCAGCAGCACCTGGAGGAGGTGCTCTTCTGATTTTAACCCCCTCTGCCACCTGACTCGGAGGGACCCTGCTCACTGTGGACAGGGGAGAGAGGAGAGGTCTCCGGCTCAGCCTGGTGGCCACGCTGCCCTCGGGGACCGTCAGTGCTGACGAGTGCCTTCTGTAACAAGACCCACATTTCAGAGAACAATATGGAGCATCGCTGGCCAGGGGAACCCCAAATCCTGGAAGTGGGGGCACACAACCTTGCTGTATGGGAGGGCTCTTGCAGGAGCAGAGTTCCCTCCTCTGTACAGCAGGGCCCACTAGGTACCTAGTGTGCTTCTAACCCAAGAAGGCCTGGCCCCGAGCTCCCTGCCACCTCTCTGGATGATCCTGGGACCCCAGCAAGGTGCTGTGAGCAAGCTCATGAGAAGACACAGCTCCCTGGGTGACACGTTACTCCTGAGTGACCCCAAGGACATCCACCCAACTCTGGGTCCCCCGGCCCCTACCCAACACAGCTCCCAACTCTCCCAGCCTGGGCTGCAGAAACGACCTGGATCAAGTCTCACCCTCGCCTGTTCTCTAGAGAATCAGAACCTTCCGCAACCCTTCAACAGGGTCCCAAGCACTGAAGGTCCATTCTGTGCTCACGCCTCCAGCCAACCAGCCCATCTGCAGCGATGCCCAGGACGAACTCAGCGCCCTGTCACCTTGTGCCAGGGGACCTGACCCAGGACACCTCATCTGTTCCACGTGCTGGGACCCCCAAGCCTTGCTCGCAGAAATTCACTGCCTTCCACCTGACCCCAGCCCTTCAAGGGTCTGGAATCCTTCCTGGGGTAAGTAAGCCATGTAATAATTTTCAAAGGAAACATTCCTGTAGTAGTGACAGCGCCTCCCAGCCTCAGCCAACAGCAGGTCAGGGATGGGTCCATCCTTCCCTGACAGTGTGGGTCAGATGACCCACCCACAGGACAGTGTGCAATACACACCACACGGCACAGCCACGCCACACGGGCACACGCCCATACACCAGAATGTGCGCACGCCAAAGACACGGCACAGGCACGTACACTCGCACCAAACACCACCTTCACACAGCACACACCAGTCACTCACATACACTCATACACGCACTACACCTCTCCTCTTACATACAACCTCTTCCCTCACAGACCTCAAAGGAAGAACACCTTTCCAAACCACCTTTCCATTGTGACTTCACAGAACCACCAGCAGACACCCTGACCGGGGAGCTTGAAGGACACTGTCCTCCGAGCCGGCCTGGGATGAGCCGTCTACACCGGGGCTCACAGCTGACTCGGGAGGCGCTATCGGTGTGGACTCCGTCTTGCCAGGACGGGATCGAAGCCGTGTGGGAAACAGGTGCCCACCGTGCCGAGATGGAAGGTTCTAGTATGGTCTCTGGTGAGCGCCCTCTGTCTGCACCCGTGTCAGACTGGCTTCCTCTGTGACAATAAGGGCGTTATAAAAGTCCATAGCGTGCGCAGAAGCATCAATCTGTCCAAATCCCGCTGAAACACGGTGAATTAATCACAATCAGAATGTCCACCGTCCAGAGCAGGGTGGGGGGCATTCTGCAAGAGACCCCTTCCTTCCAGGACACTACAAACTGCTTCGGTACTGGGTTCACTCAGATAAAGTGCAGAGACCCCACAGAATCAGACCATTTTCAACATCTGCTATGCTTTTATTACCATGATTTTGTTTTATGGTAACTGATGAGGACGGGACCGGGTCGGCCAGGGCTCAGGTGTGTTAGCTACAGGGCTGCTACGAGTCTTCCTCGACTGGACAGCACCGACCAGCCACCACCTGACTCGCTCACTTCTCGCGGCCAAGCTGCCCGACATCAGATGCCTGGCTGCAGGGACAATGTCCATGGTGCCTCCTGCCCTCGTCCTCGGACAAATGCAGGGGTTCCTTTGGAAGCTGGTCATGCACTCTCACCTGCCTAAACCCCCTTGCAAAACCCCTGGTTGTGGAATCATCTCCCACTCGTTCTGTGTGCTGCAGGACACCTGGGTGTGGGGTGTGTGTGTGTGTGACAGAGAGAGAGAGAGAGAGAGACAGCCTCCAGGGCAGTGTGCCCACACCTGGGAATCATCTCTCACTCGTTGTTCTGCGCTGCAGGACACCTGGCGGGGTGTGTGCGTGCGCGCGTGTGACGGCCTCCAGGGCAGTGTGCCCACACTTGGGAATCATCATCTCCCACTTGTTGTTACATGCTGCAGGACATCTGGCGGGATGTGTGTGTGTGTCTGCGCGCGTGCGCGCGCACGTGTGCGTGTGTGACGGCCTCCAGGACAGTGTGCCCACACCTGGGAATCATTACCGCCCCTTCTGTCCCCTGCAGAGCTTGGTGGTTTGAACCATCCACCTACTGGCTAGCAGCACAGTGCTTTAACCACACACCAGCAGGGATGGGGGAATGGACGCTGCGGAGCGGACTCCGGCTCCCTACAGCCCCGTGTGTGTCAGAGTACAACTGAGCTCCCACCTGCCCTCCACCTGACCCCCAGCCCTTCAAGGGTCTTGAATCCTTCCTGGGGTAAGTAAGCCATGTAACCATTTTCAAAGGAAACGTCCCTGTAGTAGTGACAGCGCCTCCCAGCCTCAGCCTACAGCAGGTCAGGGATGGGTCCATCCTTCCCCTGACAGTGCAGGTCAGAGCTCCACTGGGTTTTCAATGGCTGGTTTGTCAATGGAGATTGCCAGTCCTTTCTTCTGAGGCACCTCTGGGTACACTCGGATCTTTACTCTTTCGGCTCACCACCAAGCTAACAGGAACAGGTTTGACAGGTACGGCTGTTGCAAGCTCAGGACCCATAAGGTGTTTTAATGTCCCTTCTAAGCCTGGGTGAGCCAAATCTGCGGGCTCGCCCAATGGCCTGCCAACTTCTGTCTGCAGCCCTGTGACGGTAACTCAGGTAGGCTCTGAGGAGCAGGCAGGTGGGGGCTGAAACTCAGAGAGCGGGAGTGGAGAACCTGGTGGCCTCGCTGCGGTGAGCAGGCCTGGCTTTAGCTCCAGATAACAGACTGTAGTCCGGTGAATGCAAGCCACACGAGACTCACCAGCCCAGGGCTGCTGGAGACACCAAATGAACAGCCTAGTCTCCAATCCCTAGGAGTGCCTGCCAGGTATAAAGCTCCTCTGGTGGTGTAGCCCACCGGTAAGAAGCTGCACTGCCAACCTAAAGGCAGGCTCTGTGGAAGAAAGATGGGCAGTCTCCTCCCATGAGATTTACAGCCTGTGAAAACCCACTGGGGGAGAGAACCAGGTATTGGTTCCAACCCAGTGGCATAAAACAGCAGCCACCTGAAGTTCAGCAGTTCAAATCTACCCACTGCTCCAACAGGAGAAAGAGGGGTGGTCTCCTCCTGTAACGATTTAGCTTGAATAGTGGGCTACAAAAATCTGTGCTGCAGTTTTTTAATTTCTACACCTTATTAACCTGAGAGAGCTCTGGTGGCCTAGTCTGTAGGGAGTTGTGCTGTTAAACAAAGGTTGTCTCTAATGGTTCGAATCCCTCAGCTGCTCCACGGGAGAAAGATGGGCAGTCTCCTCCTGTTACGCTGACCACATCAGTGAGCCCATGGAGGGACGCCATGTGTCTGGACTGGCTCGCCGGCAGTGGGCATCCTGGTCATGAGATGGAGACAGAGGGGGACCAGTGCTAGAGCCTGTCCTCCAGAGACCCCGCACTGCAGACCCCAGGGGGTCACCTGCCTTGTGTAGAAATGAGACCACTAATAGCCACGGCTTTCCACCCTGCTCACAGCCACATAAATATATCTTCCCAGGTGGAGAAGCCAGAGCGAGTCAGAGAGATGCTTTTAACAACACAAGCAGACGTGAGGAGGGGACAGCTGCCATTACTCAGAGTATGTGAGAGGCTCCAGGGAAGGGAGTGAGGGCAGGTGCATGTGACTCAGGTGAGAGTTCAGCCAGGCCCCGAATTTCCTGACCATCGGGTTAATCGAATCCGGGCCTGCCTCACTTTTCTGAGCTCTGCACACATTCGTTTTCATTAACCAAAGGCTGCTAGCACCTTTGGGTGGAGCAAGTCTACACTTTGCCACAGTGAGTGCTCACTTTGTCTCTGCTGTCACGTTCTGGCAAGTCTCGCACTATTTCAAGCTTCTCTGTTGTCTGGGGCGGAAGCTGGGGTGTGCTGCTGCTTACCAGGGCTGCCCACTGACGCGGTGATTCTGGCCACAGCGACCCTCCACCGGTTTCCAAGGCTGTAAATCTTTACAGAGCTCTGGTAAGGAGGTGCACTGCCAACCCAAAGGCACGCAGTTCGAATCCACCAGCTGTTCTGCAGGATAAAGAATGGCCATCTCCTCTGGTCCGATTTACAGCCTCTGAAAACCCGCTGGAGGGTCAGCTATGGGTCGGTTCTGACTTTGAGGCACTGCCCATCTTTCTCCCCAGGGCAGCTGGAGGATTCAAACCACCAATCTCGCGTTAGCCCTCAACACACTATACGTGACACCACCAGGGTGCCCTTCACGCTTAACAGATCACCAAAACCCCAGAAGCAAACTATGCCGTCAAGTTGTGACTCACAGCGGGCCCCCATCAGGAGTCCGCTGATCTTTACGGGAAGGACGACAGGGCTCACCTTTCTCCTTGAAGCAGTTGCAGCCCAGCACGTTATACTCTGCCCCCAAGGCTTCTTTTACAGACGACAGTGTAGTTACATATAACTTTTATATCTTTTCATATGTCATAACTCGATTTATTATTGTGTTTTGGAATAGACAATTTTAAGTCACTCATGCCCACCTCCTCAAAGTGGACAGAGGGCAGCAGCCCAGTGAGGGCCCTCGATTAGAGCCCCCAGTCTCAAGTGGCCAGGGTGTGGCTTTCTTCGTTCACATCCGCACCAGGGGCCGTTCTGTCAGGGTCCTAGGATGGATGGACGGACGCTGCTGCTGTGCTGACCTTGACCTGTCTTCCACTGGCAACTCCCTGGGAGACAAGGGTTCTGCTTGGCAGCAAAGCCAAGGTCACTCTCCAACAACTGCCTACAGAGCGAGAGACCACATCCAACAGAGCCAGTGACCACATCCAACAGAGCCAGTGGCCGCCAGAGGGACCGAGGATGGTCTCCCAGAGACGCATACAAATCAGGAGTGGATTTGCATTCACGAGGGCAAGGAAGCAAAGAAGACGGAGACAGACTTGGCTGCAGTTGGAGATGGACCTATCTGTGAACTGCTGATACACTCGTCCTTTAACCCTGAGGTACCTCAGAAGAAAGGCCGGGCAACCCTTTCGGGCACGATCACAGTCACTGACAACCCCACAGAGAACTGTCCTCCTGTCACACTGACCAAGGGTCACCCTGAGTCGCTGTCAAGGGATCTTACCACCAGTTTCTAAGGAAATCTGTAATGGGCATTTTCTACATTCAGAAGCACTTTTTAAAAATTCCAAATAAAATCAAGATGTCAAGATAAAACAGAGAAATGAGGTCTTCTCCTGAAACTCCAAAGAAACCTGAAGCATGTAAGAACTGTCAATAAAAGAAACGTCAGACCCACAGCACTATGGGTCCACATGGATTTTGACACCCCCAACGCCCCCAAGAACAGGGACAGAGCCTCTTACACTGCTGCAGGACCCCCAGAGGGCCCTCTGGGAGCGTTCAGGGATGACTGTTGGGGTGATGGCCACAGCTGCCCACAGGGCTGCAAGGAGGCCAGGTTAGTGATGTGAATGGAGGTCAGGGTGCAGGACGGCCCAGGCACACAGAGACACTCTAACAGGAACTGTCCTGCTCAGAAGAGGCTGGAGGTGGCCCCATGGGAGAAGTCCCATTTGCCTTGCCTGACTGACCTTGTCTAGGTTCCTGGTCAAGCCACCACCTGTCAGGGAGGCTGGTGTGGCTCTATGCCGGCTACCGGAGAACTTCCAGGTGAAGGAGGACTAGGAAGAAAGGCCTGGTGAGTGATTTCTAAAAATTGGCCAACAAAACCCTGTTGGTCCCCAGGGTCCAATCCACGAGTACATGAAGGACAGGTATTCCCTTCCTGGGTGCATGGGCCACCAGGAGGCGCGGGCCACTGGTCAGCAGCCAATGGGCTGGGAGGAGGGCCAGTCCCTGGAGAAGGACATCATGCTTGAACAGCCGCTGTTGTTGTGTACTGTAAAGTCAGAACCAACTGACAGCTGACCCTCCAGCATGGAGGAGACAGCCCATCTTTCCTCTGTGAAGCAGCTGGTGCATTCGAACCGGGTGCCTTTAGGTTGGCAGTGTGGTTCCTTACCATGAAGCCAGCAGTCAGTGAAGAAGAGGAAGACGCTCGTGAGGTAGACTGACATAGTGGCCACCACGCGCACAAGCACAGCAAGGACTGTGTGGATGGCCAGGCCCGGGCGGTGTTTCCCCGCGTGCGACGTGAGCTCAGGGCCTGCTCACGGGCACCTGACTACCAAGGTAAACCTCAAGCACCTTGGCTTCCTCCGCCCCAGGTTTCCAACTCTCCCTCCCCCTAACAGGGCATCACCCACAAAATGAAACCACAGCAGCTGGGCCCTCTGGCTTCAAATGCCTTAAGGTTTACGTGAGGCCGCTGGTGGTTCTGAATCTCAACTCCAAAAGCAACTCTAAAATGCGAACGGTCCTGTCAGACCACTAGGAAGGACAGGCCAATCACATGCTGGGTGAGCCATGAGACTCGCCTCACGGCAGACCCTCCCCACCACCTCAGAGCTGCCTCCCAGGGTCCCCCAGGATCCACATCCAGGAAGAAGACAGAAGAGGAAATAGAGAACACTGAAAAAGAACACTGGAAGAGGAGTCGCCGGAACTCGCACAGGGCGGCCCTGTGTCTTCTGCAGGGAAGTGCTTACAGGGTTCTGTGCCTGGCTTGTGGGTTAAGCAGGGTTCCCCTCAACAGGCCCCTGGCAATGAACTGTGGGATCCTCTCCTCGTCTGCTCCCTTGTTTAAGGACAGTTCTGGCCGGGGGCTGAAGTGACCTTTCGGACTTGAGACCTTCTCCTGGCAGCGTGGCTGCAGCCCTGAGACCCCACCTTGGTGATGTGCCGGCACATTTTATGAGAAAGTGTCCCCACAGAAGATTCCTCACCTGGAACCAGCTGAAGCTCAGAGGAAATACAGAACCAGGAAAGGTCCCCAAGCCCCAAATGCCAAACTCTGCTGTGCAGTCCGCTCTGACTCAGAACGGCCCACAGGGCTTCTGGGGGCTTAGGGACAAGGAGTTGTGCTGCCAACACAAAGGTACATGGCTCAAATTTACCAGCTGCACCTTTAGACAAAGATGGGCAATCTCCTTCTGTGCAATTAACTGCCTCTAAAACACACTGGAGGATTAGCTATGGGTCAGTTTCGACTCAACAGTACACAACAACAACAATCCTTACATAAAGGCACCTTGGAAGAGGTTGCTAATCAAATGACTGGCAGCTCTGTGGGAGAGAGATGGGCAGTCACTTCCTGTAAAGGCTGGAACTCAGTGGACAGTCGTGATGAGACAGCACCGACTGGATAGCAGGGGTCTGGACGTAAATCTTTGTTTTAATCTCGTCTCTCCTATGAAGCAGCGAGTAGCTTTGACTCTCTGACCCTGCAATTAGCACCGGAGTCTTTAACCACTGTTGTCAGCAGAGAGGGCTCCTCAGAAAAAGCCCGAACGCTAAATCTAAATCCACAGCTGTCAAGTCTACTCCAACCCACGGAAACCCCACAGGACAGAGAAGAGTGCCCCATGGGGTTTCCAGTGCTACAGAGTCCTACAGCAGCAGACAGCCTCATCCTTCTCCCTGAGAGCAGATGATGGGTTTGAACCACCAACCTTCCAGAGAGCAGGTGAGCACTTAAAACACTGCACAAGGGCCTTCCTGAAAAGTCAGAGGGCACTGGAAAAGATTCCTTTTTTTGTAGTTAAGAGGGGTTTGCTGTGGCTGGTGCCGCGAGGACGGAAACATGCTTGTGGTTCCCCAACTACATGCATGCTGTTCGCTCCCTCCTCCAGGGACGGCACTGGCAGGCTGCTCAGAGGATGTCCACCACGGTCACGCCTCCTCCCGCAGGCCACGCGTGCCGAGAAGTTAAAGGACAAGCCATGCTTCCACCCCGCCTGGGGGCTGCTCAGAGAAGACGAGGTCTCCCCACCACCAAGACACAAGGTGAAGCTGGACCCAGACGCGGGAGGCCTGCTGTTCAGAACCCAGGAGGAAACGCACCCGCCGGATTCACGCCACCCACGTGGCAAAGGGGAAACAGTGCTTCGACTTACTCATTTTAAAAATATCAAGCACAAACACGGACCAGCTATTTTAGAACGTGTGTCATCAAACTCTTCCAGTGGGAAGTGATTCAGAGTTTGCTTCTCTCAGGCGTCAGCAGGTAGCTCAGAGGAGGGACTGGGCAGAGCAGGGGCTGGAGGACCAGCAGGGGACTGCTCCCTGATGGGCCCTTGCCTGGGTTCTTGTCACTACTAACTCGGGGCACAGGTGTGGCTCAGGGGGAGCAGTGGAGGTGGGGTGGAACTCCCAGCCGAGACACCTCATATACAGCTACCCCCCTGGTGTCACCAGAGATGTCCATGCTGCTGTGACATGGGACGGGTCTCAGCACAGCTTCCAGACTAAGAGAGACCAGTGGGAAAGGCCTGGCAATCAACTTCTGAAAAGCACCCCAGGTCTGATCAACAGCTGGTGGCGCGATGGCCCAGGTCCAGCAGCATTCTGTCTTGTCGTGCCCGGGTCTGCCGGGAGCAGCTGACCTGCACGACTCCAGGTCAGAACCTAAGGCAAGGCGGATGCGTTTGGCCAGCCTTTGCACCAGATGTGAGGGGGACGGGGGAAGCCTCGCTCAGCAAACTGATGGAATAAACCATTGCCAGGGGAATATTTAACTTTCCAAAGAAAATCAACCTTTTTAAAGATATTTCACTTAGCACGCAGCACACCACTGAAAGCGAACAGCTATTTATAAACCGATCCTTGAAGCCAAGGCCAGAAGGGAGAGTGATGACCCCGGCCAGCCGCCAATCCGTGCTACCACATACACCTGTTTCCAGAACAGCCCCTCTGCCTAAATTACCTGCATGTCCTGTTCACGCTCCCCCAGGCCTGCCCCCCGCCATTCCTCCCTGGGCCCCGTGTACCCCTGAACCCCGCTGGACAGCCATGTGGCGAAGCTCCAAGCCCATCAGACTCCGCTTCCGGGAGGAACTGCAGGGAGCGTCTGCTCATCTAGGACACAGAGGGGTGAGTGCGCTCTGATTGGGTCGGGGAAAATCAAGTTCACCAAATCCAGGGGGTGTCACCGAGCAGGAAAAAGGAGGCCAGCTCCCGCCCCTGGCGCCTCGGAATGAATGCAGGTGGCAGCGTCGTAATCCGTGACTGCAGAGGTCACCTGCCTGCATGCAGGGCCACCCAGCCCTCCCGGAGAGCCACACTGGGTTCTGACAGCGTGACACCGGGCGGCTGAGGCTAGCCAGGTGGAGGGCGATGAGGGAAGCAGCCAGGGTAACTCGCTCCTGGGGAAGGAAGGCATGGAATGTGGGGGCACCAAAAGACAGGAGGACAGGGAGGTTCCGGGAGCAGTGCCGGGACAGGGATTCCCACAAAGCACATCTGTGAGCTCCAGAGAGACCTGAGACCTCGTCCCCCTGTAATCACACACCTCACACACCCAGGACACCTCTTCTGAAGGGATCACCTAATAAGACAGCCAGCCTGAGCCAGAAAGGGGATCCTGCATACCACAGGAGACTGGGAGCATCAGCGACAGGAGAAAGGCTCCGGTCTGAGATGGCTCTGCAGAAATCTGACAAAACTGGCCTCAGCCCACCTCCTCTGCCCCTCGGCCCTGCCAGAGCAGCCAGCCTCCAGTTCTCCATTCAATGCCAAGTTCCCGGTCCCGGGCGCAGGGAGCTGCCGGCAGAGGGCGTCTCCAGGAGGGACTTAATAAAGAGAAAATTGTTTCATTTTAACACTCCAGACACAGAGCGCTTTGACTGTCGCCCCTTCCCACAGATACGGATGAACAATGCACACCGACGCGGGTCCCAGAACGCTGGCACACCCGGCCACTCGCCTGTGCTGGGGGGAGTGATCAGAAAATTTCATTTTGTTTGGCCCATCAGTTAAATGGACCTTGTGTTCTTTGGAGGCAAAGCCCCTGTAAATAGCATCTCTCTGTGGCCTTCTAAACAGTCCCTTTGTTTCTCAAAGAGCCTGAAAAAAAAATATTTACAGTCCATAGGTTATTTACAGCCTTGTTCTCCCGGGCCTGACTGGTAACTTTATTCCACCCAGAAACCTAATTCATTGGAAAGCTCTGGAACTAGTAACAGATTTTCTTGTAAGATAAGTTGGGCTTCCCCTCTCCTTTCTTCTTTTTAATCAGCTTCTTATAACAGAGATAAAACGAGCAAAGGCCCCAGCTGGCCTGGGGAAGGGTTTTAATAACCCCGCCTCCCCTGCTCCGGCCACCCAAACCCTCTGCCCTATGGCCACTTTAAGGCACAGGAAAATCTTAACAAAACTGGGCGGTGCAGGTGGGCTGGGACAGCGGGCTGCGATGGCCACCCTGTCCCCCAAACAGCCTCTTCCCGGGGGGAACGACCGGCTGGAAACTGGACGCAGTTTTTGGTTTCACGTGGGGGCCCCCTCCGACTCCGACCCCAAAACACATCAAGTGTAAAAACTTAAGTTGATTGAGGGTTGTGGAAACTGGCAGACGGACAGGCAGACACCGACGGAGTGCCGGGACAGGCGAGCCACGGCCTGGCTGTGCTGTCGTCCAGAGGACAAGCCGGGAGAACGGCCGGCCAGGGTCGCCCAGGCCCACGCGCGCCTGTCCCCGCGAGGCCAACTCCACCTCCCCGCACTCGCGAAGGCGGCTGCCGGGCGCCGCGCTCATTGTTCTGTCCGGGCCCGGGAGGGACTTTACATCCCCCCACACCACCTGGCCCCAGAATGCCGGCTCCAGGCCCCCCGCAATTGGAGCCCGCAGCGAAGAAAGGCGCGTGGGGTGGGCGCCGGCAGGGTGGCCGCGAGGACAGCGCAGCCGAGGGGCCGCTCCGGGGGACGTGCTCCCGCGGGGGCCGCGCGCCCCGCCGCATCACCTTTATTTCTCGCCCCGCGATCACCCCAAGAGCACCCCCACGGCCACACTTCTTTTCTTTGGGCAGGAGTCCACCCGGCCACAGCCGCCGCCTCCTCGCCCGGGAAACGCGCCCCCTCGCCGTCCCGGACCCCGGACCCAGCCGGCTCAGGAGGGGGGCGCGGCGCCGGGGGGGGGGCGGGGGGGAGGAAGCGGAGACCCGGAGCTAGGGTGCAGGGGAGAAAAGGGGGTGCGTACTCGGAGCTGGAAGCTGGGGTACCAGGAACCAGACCCGAGATCGGGGAGCTGGGAGGCTGGCGGCGCGGATTCGAGAACCGGGGGCCGGAAGGCAAGGGGACGGGGCCGGGGGCCGAGGGTCAGCGGGGCGGGAACAGGGAGGCGAAGAACCATCGGCCGGGGGCGTGGGGCCGGAAGGCGCGGGGCTCGGGGGCCCCGGGCCCGAGGGTTGGGGGGCCGGGCCGGGGGCGCGGGCCGCGGGAACAAAGCCGGGCCCCGAGCCTTACCTTCGTACACGGGGGCCATCGGGGCCGGGCCGTCCGCGGCTCATGGCAGCGGGGCGGGGACGGCGCAGCGCGGGCTCGGCGCCCCCCGGCTCAGGCGGCTTCTGCCATCTTGCGCCCGGGTCTCCGCTCGC